GAAAGCGATTTATAATAGGTTGTTGTCGGTTGCGTCTGAATTGATTAAAAGAGGAGTTAATGGTAGCGTTCAACCCCTATGCTTATTTTGTAAAGTTCAACCAGAACATGTTATCCATGTGATTTGCCATTGCAATGTTGTTTGGTAAGTGTGGCAAAGGTGGTGTTTATTATGGAATGTTAGGATTACTTTCCCCATGAATGTTAAACATCTTTTAGAGATTTGGTCGTCACAGTATATTAGAATGAAACTTAGGAATGTTTGGCTTATCGACTTTTTCGGCCTGATTTGGCAGATTTAGTTGTGCAGAAACAAGTCTAGATTCAATGGCGAGTCATTCTCAGTCGATAGGATTTTCAATATGGTGTTATTGCAGGTTGGTTTTTGGGCTAAGTTTTTATGGTAGTCATTGGTTCCCCATGTGCTAGATTTTGTGCGTAGTCCGGATTCTATTATTTCTGGCCGAGATTATTGACTCTACCTGTGGTTTACTGGTTTCGATAGTTCAATGCCTTCGTTCATTTTTTTTCTCAAATTTTAGATGTTTTCTCCTTGGATCTGCGTAGCACTCATCATGCAGCGTTTGTCGTTATTCACTGATCTTGGTGAGTGAATTCCATCTAGCTTCAGGAAGCTCCAGTCTCTGAAAGTTTAATTTCTTGCGGTATTGGGCCAGCTGGTATGACTTGAGTAGTTCGTTCCCTGGTTTTTGTTTCTGTCCTTGCTCGAGGCTAGTGGCATCTTCTGCATTTTGAGTGATGTTTCCTTTGGATGCTTTGCAAGAATCCATTCCTTTCTAACCTTTTGATAGATTGTAAGCTCTCCTGATTGCTGTGCATTTTGTCATTCCTTCTTCTATGGTTCAGCTGAAGCAATTGAGTATTTCCATTACTGAGTGCTTGTCAGTGATTAAGTTCAGGAAGCTGTTGCTATTTCGTTTCGATGTTATGTTTTTCCTTTGGTTGTGATGCCTGCGTTTGTTCCCTTTTAGCTCTCAATTCATATTCTTAGTTAGTCTAGTTGGGGTTCTCTTGTGTTAGCTTGGGGTTTGTGGTAGGGCGAGGGATGGACTGTGTAATGTAAGAAAATTTTGTGCTTATGTTTATTACCACCCCATGGTACACTCTTTTTCCTCCAATTAGGGATAGGGAGGTTTTTTAATGAGGTTCTGGAGGTGGTGTACTTTGTAATTTACCTTAATACAAAGTACCATCTTTAAAAAAAACCCGACAAGCCTTACATCTCCGACAAATCATAATATAACTTGAGAGATTAAACCAAAACTTCTCATAAATTCTGATACCATACAACAATGGAACTTCCTTAGAACCACCTACGAAACACAAGCGATCGCCCCATACCCTAAACCTAGAACCTAATATCCATTCATCTTCGCAATAATGTTCCACACGTCACCTTCAATTTGAAAGCTCGATTACTTTATTATATATTCAATTCAAATGTATAAAGTGAGTCAATCTAATTATCAATTGTAATAGTATTTAAATTTTTTACTACTTTAATAACAATCACCTTAATTGCTAATCGTTTAGGGGGTGATCTTGGGACTTTGTGCTCCAATTTGGCATTTGGATACTTCTCGCCAAGAACAAAAGCTTGGTTACAAATATATTGATACTCTTATGAGTGGTTTCATAAATCTTTCAAGTTTTATGGATCTACACCATAGAAGATTACATTGAGAGAATTTGAATTGTGAGTTGCAAGCTTTTCTTCCTCAATAGTTCATCCCTCCAAAGAAACTTGAACTAACTACAGTTAAATTCCAAATTGTTTTATTTTAGATTTCATTCAACCTGTTGAAATATAGATTTTCATCCGTCATGACTATTTTCAATCCCTTATTTTTAGTTAGCTTTCAAACTAAATCATATTTTTTACAATAAATCTAGGATGAATACAAGATAATATATGTTTAAACACTCTCAAATCAAACTATATTGAATATTAATATTGAAATATGAATCACTACTCCCTTGTAACTGACTCTTGACTCAGTACTTTGATTATTTTTATGAATGTTGATTGATAATTATTAGGATATTGTTTTCAATGCCAATTTTCTATTAGAAAGATTAATATTAACTATAAGAAAATATACCTTTAATGACACACGAACTATGACACACGTTAATTTATGACTTGCAAAAAATATGTGTCATAAAAAAATGTCATGTTTTTTAAAATTCGAACGATTTATGACTTACAATAATGTGTGTCATATTTACTAGTCATAATTCAAAAAATTTACAAAAACACGGAGTACACTTTTAATTGTGTGTCATCTGTAAAAGTCGTCTTTTAATATCCCCGTTATTTTCATCCTTTCCCACTTCATGCTTCCCCTTTTTTCTCTTTGTATCAGTCCACTGGCTTTCCCCCTCTGTTATCGTGAAGCGCCAATGATCTTTGTTAACTCCATATATCGATGTCTTCCTTCGTGTTCATCCCCCACTCGACTCAGATCACGAATCGCTTCACTCGTTTTGGCGTTTATTTCCATCTGTGGAAAAAAATTCCCCTCGTACCTACTCAGTAACTCGGTGAGTCTGTTGCCCCCGCGAGCTTCCTCCATTTCTTAATTTTTTTTCAAATTTCTCTTCTTCTAACATCCAACGATTTCTCAGGTGGGAATTTCTCTTTCAGGTTAGCTTTAAAAGATTTGATATTTCCAATAGAAAAATGATGTCTTTTCTGCATTTCTGTGTTGTTTTTGTAAAATTTATGTAGAATTTTACAATGGGTATTTCCTTTTTCTTCTTGGTGTTGTGTTTTTGGTTTTTTATTGATTGATTTGGTAAGCTACTATTTTTTTATGTGAAGTTTTGATTTGTTGGTTTGATTTCTAATGAAGGTTTTTTTGTTAATTTCATGTAATTTTGGATCTGGAAATTGAGTTTACTATGGTTGATCTGTTATTCTCTTTTGCTATTGCTTCATAGTTTGTATATTGGTTTTGTTCTAGAGGTTTTGCTTGTGTTGTTTATTTAGATCGTACAATAAAATTTCCTAGAAATGAATCTGTCTACAACCATTGTCTTCTTCATCTTCTCTATCTCTAATTCCGACACAGTTTTTGCCCTTTTGGCTCTTAGCATATGAATTTATTTCATTTTCCATTTTGGTTGGCTATCCAGTGATTGAGTTGTTTTTAATGTTGATCATTCATTTTTCTTTTGTTATCATATTTCCTCTACAGGGTATTTTATGCTGACACAACGAGTTTTGAATGTAGCACATCAGTTCGCCTTTTTGTAGGAGATATGTTTGTAACTACATCGAAGATGATGGTGGGATGATATGTTGTTATTGACAAACTCTCCACATAAAAGGAACTAGATTCTAGAATCTAGAGCTTTTTGATTTCTTGTTAAAATATAGACTATATGGAATAAAGTAGCTAAGAAGTTATTACCTCTTGCCTTTTGCTAACTTCTTTATAGACATTTGGAGAATCTTTGGCTCTTGTCGTAATCTGTTGGAGGGACTATCACTTCAAAACTTGAATTTTCAATAACTTTTAGGAGTATTTATAGTGATCTCTGGATTTAAAGTGTTGTGGATATGTTAAATTCACCTCAAGGACATAAGCAGAGCCTCCAAAAATCCATGTGAAAAGGCTCATCTGGTGCCTCATATAAAGATTTGTGGCATGTTGTGAGAGAAGGGTCCTTGCCTGATGTAGATTTTGCATTGGCGCTATTGAAGAAGAATGGAAGTAATATCAATTCGAGGAACAGTTTGGGTCTGACTCCTCTTCACATTGCAACTTGAAGAAACAACATTCCCATTATTCGAATGCTTTTAGCTTCTGGTGTTGATCCTGATGCTAGGGTGTGTAATTCTTATCCTTTTGTTGATAAAATGTTTTCAAGTTCGTTGTGGATGTCTATCAAGTATCCTGCTTTAGAACATCGATGATCTTGTTTTAAACATCATTAAGTCGTAGAGATGTCAGAAGTATGATGGTGCAATTAGCTTCAAGCCACTTTTTTGACTCTTCGTAATCCTTGTTCCAGGACAGAGAATCTGGATGGAGTAGCCTTCATAGGGCTCTGCATTTTTGTCATCTTGTTGTAGCGAGTGTTCTTCTCCAGTCTGGTGCTTCTATTACATTGGAAGATTCAAATGTAGAACACCTATAGATCTCCTGTCAGGGCTTGTCTTGCAGGTTTTTGGAAGTGCACAGCATTTAGGTACCTACTACTGTCTTGGCATATCGGAAAGCCTCTTATTATTGCACGAAAATCAAATCTTTTTCAAAGAAGCGTAGAAGAGGAACATGGTATCTGCTATTTCATATTGTTAATGTGACTTTAAAACCTGATTCTAGATTTTCATATAATGGGTAATCTTATTTGGTTATAATACCACTATTTGTTGTCATTGAAGATATAGGAAGAAAACTTTTTTCTTGTTAAAATGTTGTTTAGCAAGTAGATTGACCATTTATATTCTCTTCTCTCATATCGTTGGAATTCTGCTGTCTCTAACCATAATGTTATGATAGTATTAATTTTTTTTTGTGTAACTAACGTAAACTTCAATCCTCTTGAAGAGTTCATTAATCTTATTTCATCAGAGTCCAATGAAGTTTGTAACAGAGAGGATAAACGAACAATAGCACCTGAGCATGTACTCAAGGCTTTAGCGGTTAACCTACACCCATGTTTCAATTCTGTTTTTATGGGTGTTATTTTGTGCACATTGCTTTGTTAGGGTTGAAAAGTAATGCCTTGAATATGACATTTGGATATGTTGTTATGGTTCATGAGTGCCTTTCTCTTTAAATTGTTGTTTCCATATCAAGCTATGGTTTTACTAGAACTATCTATTTTTTGTTATGCATGTTTTATAAGCTCATGGAATTGATCTTATTAGCAAAGTCTAGGTGCTAAAGAAAAATATTATGTGCTTTTCATTAGTTCCATCTGTATTCAGATATGGTTTTATATCATGCTTTGTTATCATGAATATTTAGCCACCGGTTCCTTTCTCACAGAAGCTCCCTAACGTGGATCTTGGGGCTCTTCGCCTACTTGAGCGCTTACTTGCATTTGATCCAAAAGATCGTCCCACAGCTGAAGAAGTAAGATTGAGAATTCCTAGTATTTAATTTTTTCTTTCAAAAGCACTAAAAAGGAAACAAGGTATGCATACAATAGATAACCCTAAAATTTACAGAAAAATAAGGTTTCTTGCTAACATTTTTTTATATTCAGAAAACATAAAGGATATGCTTCCTATAGAATTGAAATCCATGAATGGGTGATCTTGAATGCTACAAATTTTTATTTAATGTTTTGTCAGTATCATTTCATCAAGATATGATAAATCTTCTCATTATTGGCATTAAATCAACTACAAATGATAAATATGACAGTTAGATCATGACTTACAAGCTTCTAATATTCCTAATGGTGTTGCTCTACGCTGGCAGGCATTAGCTGATCCATACTTTTATGGTTTAGCAAATGTGGATCGTGGACCATCCACTTAACCTATTTCGAAATTAGAATTTGAGTTTGAGAGAAGGAAATTGGCAACAGATGATGTTAGAGAGCTGATTTATAGAGAGGTACTCCATATTTGTTGCTTTGGCATTATCTGGTTTCTATTTATCATATAGCTTAACCAATTTGTGGCCTAATAGATATTAGAGTATCATCCCCAGATGCTGCAGGAGTACCTCCGCGGTGGGGATCATACCAACTTCATGTACCTTTCAAGCTCTTAACTTTTGTTGCTTAATATCCTTTAAAAAAATCCTCTTGTTTCTTAATATGATGTCCAAGATTGTCCTTATACAGTTTAGATACAACTTAGTAAAGTAATACTTTTTGAGTGGTTTTGTAGATCGAATCCTCGTTTCAAGTTATGTAGTGCTTAAGCGAAATATAGGGGTGGGGGTCTGGAAATTCTAAATTCCAGTTGATAACATTTGCTTTTAGCATTGCAAATAATTGTATTATTTTTCTTTTTTTGATCAAATAATGGCGTTGAGCGATTCAAACGACAATTTGCACATTTGGAGGAACATTATGGTAAAGGTGAAAGAAGTACTCCACTTTTGATTTTTCACAAGACTCCCCTTTAGTAAAACTTGATGATGATTTCTTGTGTACACGCCCGAATGGCGAGGGTATATTAGGAGAACTTTATTATGCCGTGATATTTTGTATCGACATATGATTACAATATTTTTGATAACTTAATGTGAATATATTGTATGCAAATGGATTGCTTATATATAATATGATATATATATATTTAGTATTATGAGGCATTAAATGTGATTTAGTTTGATTATTTGTCAATCTACAATATATATATATATATAAATTTACGAAATACAATCAAGACACACGAATCATCTTCATTTATGACGGGGGCTTCAATGACACGCAATGTAAGTCATACATGCGTGTCATAAATTTATGACACACAAATGTGTGTCATCTTCATTTATGACGGGGGCTTCAATGACGCTCAATGCGCGTCATAAATGCGCATCATAAATGCACGTTATAGATTTATGACACACAATTGCGCGTCATCAAAAATTCATGTCGGTGACTTCAACGACAGGCATTTGTGTGTCATCTGCACCCATAGATGACGCGCAATGCGCGTCATTAAAGGGGTTTTTTCTAGTAGTAATTTTATGTTTATTGACAACTACTATGCTTTATTAATATATATGATTATGATACATTTGTGACTTGACACAACTAACAATTATGCAATAATAATAATAATTGTGTTAGTATTTGATGTACTTTCATCAATTTTATAATAATTAGTGTTTAGATATTATCCCATGTTTTAAAATAAAATCTTAAATTTTGAACTTTAAGATTTTAATTCATAAATCATAATCATAGGATTAGGATTATCTTGAAAATTGTTGAGACCCTGAACCATAACTAAAAAATGAACCCTATAGAATAGAAAACATATTTCATTATTTTGAACATTTAGTTTAATATTTTATTAATAAATCATAGAAACATAATTAAACTTTATTAAAATCGTTATTTTTATTATTTTGTTAAAAATACATTAAATACAACTAAAAGAATAAGAAATATCATTAACTCACAATATTATCAAACATGCTATTTTCATTATTTTATGAATGTGTAAAATGAGACCTTGAACTGAAGCTCATATTGCTCATGAATCAAACCTGCATGGAGTTTAAATTCTAAACCTTTAATATAATGTATCACGCAACTAATCTTATGGGTGGAATTTTTTTCAATAGTCTAGAGTGATTACAAGACACATATATTTTATAGACTAATCCATTCGAACTTAAAATTGAAAAAAGAAAAATGTTCAATTTTACTATTGAAATCACTTGATAAGTTCTGTCGGTAGAATTTTTAAATTCCGCTAACATTGTATTGTATGGAATATATTAGCATTGTTTGAAATTTTAATAATTATATATATATATATATCTATCCTAATAGATTCCCCTTTGTGTAAGACAAGTTTATTACCAAATTGCTAAATACTATGTTTTTTTAAGACTGCTTGATGTAATTCTTTCCTCGCTGACGAGTTTATTTTGTACTATTGAAGGAAAACGTTAAACATGAAATGTTTTTAATCCAATTCCCAACCCTGGATAGCACCCACACCAAAAATACCATTCTAAAATATTAGATTATATATATATATATAATTCTTATAAAACGTCTTTATAAATGATTAACTAAAAATATTTTTATCTTTCTGAAACATTTTTTATTTTTTTTAAAAATAGTCTTATAATATTAACATTTTCTTTTCGTATTAATTTCAAGTTTCTTTTTTAGCTTTTCTGTTAAAATTTTTTTCTTCTTATTATTAGACTTTAACTTATTTTTTAATTCTTTAATTCTATTTAAGTAATTTATAAAATTGCTTAATTAAAATTTTTGTTTCCTTTTGTATTATTTTTTTTAATTCTATAATTCTTGTTTACCCCATGCCAGAAATATTCCAATTAAATACAAATAAAATTTATTATGAAATAAAATAAAACAAAATACCAATATATTTAGGATATATTTTAGGCCACTAAGCCTTGGATCCATTTATCAAATAATGATTAAAATTTTTTGAAATAATAAAAAACTATCTTTAATGTTAAATTAAATAATTATTTTTATTTTTATTTTTTTAAAAATATTTTAATCTTAACGTTTTATTTTGAGATAAAAAGTTACAGTGGAAAGCAAACAAAAACATATAAATAAATTAATAAAAAAACCCTATTTATAGGCTTAAATCCTAGCAACAAAAATACAGGCAAGGCTAAGCTAGAAAACAAGTTTTTCTCTATGTCCTTGCTTTGTTTGAGCGATACAAGGTTTTGTTTCTTCTTCCTTCTGTTCAATAGTACGTTTGAACCGCAGTTATGGCATTGCATTTGTGAAAAAGGATCTCATTTGAAAATACAGGGAAGAAATCACAACATGGCGACTGCAAAAATGGAAGAAAAAAAAGATAGCTTTGGTGCTGCTGAAAATGGCGATGATCAGCGGAGCCAGATGTTGGAAATAAAACACTCACACAAACAACTTTTATTGAAACTCAAAGAAATATTACAAGAGCACTCTCACTCAAAGCCAAGAACTACAACTCACTCTTATAAGACTTTGCTTCTTCACTCACTTAGAAGCTCTTAATTTTTCTTGATGCTTAAAACTAAAATGGGGAGGGGTATTTATACTACTCAAGAACAATCCTACACCACACAAATAAACTAATTTAAATCATTACAAATTCAACAAATACCTAACTCTCACCTAACTAAATTGATGTAAGCAATGACATCATTACTTAAATGATGTAAGCAATGACATCAATTTAGTTTGGGTTTGGGTTTAGGCTCCCATAATGGATCAAGTTTATGATCCAACACCCCCCTTAAACTTGATCTTGTGACCCCTAGTAAGTTCCTTAATCTTATGAAGTCTTCACTTTTCAGTGGCTTGGTAAAAATATCGGCAACTTGATCTTGTGACTTCACGTATTCAAATTCCACATTGTTTCTTGCAACACACTCCCTTATATAGTGGTAGCGAATGTCGATGTGCTTGCTTCGATCATGGAATACTAGATTCTTTGATAAGGTAATGGCTGATTTGTTGTTGACATAAACCTTTGTAGGCTCTTCTTGTATCAAACCTATTTCGTTCAATAGATTTCTAAGCCAAATTGCATGACAAACACATGAGGTAGCAGCAACATATTCCGCTTCACAAGTGGACAATGTGACAATCGGTTGTTTCTTTGACATCCATGTGAAAGCAATATCTCCCATGAAAAATACGAATCCAGTAGTGCTCCTTCGATTATCTATGTCTCCACCCCAATCACTGTCGCTATATCCAACAAGCTTGTAATCATTAGAAACTAAATAAAACAAGCCAAAGTCAATTGCACTGTCAGATAGCAAAGAATTCTCTTTGCGGCTTTAAAATGGGTGGTTGTTGGAGATTCCATGTAACGACTAACCAATCCAACTGCGTGAAGAATATCGGGTCTCGTGCAATTTAGATAGCATAGACTTCCTATCAAACTTTTGAAGAATGTTGGATCTACACTTTTGCCTTCTTCATGTTTGGTCATCTTGATCCCGTATTCTGCAGGTGTGCTTATTGGCTTACAGTTCTCCATCTTGAACTTCTTCAGTATCTCCTTTGCATAGCTTTCCTGTGAAATGAAAATTCCATCATTTTGTTGCTTAACTTCAATACCAAGGTAGTACGCCATGAGCCCCATGTCTGTCATCTCAAATTCTTTCATCATCACATCCTTGAATTCATTAAACATGCTTGGGTTGCTTCCGGTAAAGATCAAATCGTCCACACAGATGCACACGATCAAAATATCTTCATCTTTGATCTTGATATATAGAGCATGCTCGTAGGGACATTTATTGAAGCCATTCTCTTAGAAGTACTTGTCGATTCAGCTATTCCATGCCCTTGGTGCTTGTTTTAGCCCGTAAAGAGCCTTCTTCAACTTCAACACCTTGTCTTCGTGCCCTTTGACTTCATAGCCTGATGGTTGCAAAATGTAAACTTCCTCTTCAAGAACGCCATTTAGAAAGGCAGACTTTACATCCATCTGTTGTATCTTCCACTTGTTTTGAGCTGCCAAAGAAATGATTAGTCTGATAGTCTTCAATCGAGCAACAGGAGCAAATACCTCATCATAGTCAATTCCAGCCTTTTAACTATAGCCTTTAGCAACTAGCCTCGCATTGTGCCTTTCAATATCTCCTTTGGCGTTTTGCTTTGTTTTGTACACCCATTTGACACCTATCGCCTTATGTCCCTTGGGAAGTGAGGTAAGTTCCCATGTGTCATTCTTCTCGATGGCTTTGATTTCTTCATCCATCGCATCTCTCCATTTCTTTTCTTATACTGCTTCTTGAAAGCTCACTGGTTCACAATCGGAAAACAAACAAAATAATGTAAGATTATATTGTCGTTCAGTTACCTCATAGAGATCTCTAAGGCTTCTTGTGCGTTGCACAACTATTTCACTTTGACTCCCACTTGACGATGACGAATGTGATGAGTCTCCTTGAGTGGTTGATGTTGGTGAAGTGGGTGGAGTTGCAAGCTCTTGTTGAGATTCATCTAGTTGTTCCCTCATTGTCTGCTCATCTTCTTCAAACTGAGGAAAGAAATTGATGTCATCTGTATGAGAGTTAAAATCCCATT